ATCTTGACAGCTTTGTTCTCCATTTTGCATCATCTCTGTCGCTGAAGAGGGAAACATCATCACTGCACAGTGACTTGCTACATTGTAGCACGCCGCGTGGGAAATGTCCTCCAATTTGACCATTTTTGTGTTGTTCTTAGGGGGGAAGTACGAGCTTCACACAGCAACACCAACCACTCCCAGCGTGGTCGTCCATGTGTGCGACGACGAACGCGGCGACAGCTCGGCACCCGACGACAGCGACCAGGATGACAAGCCCCGCCCACCACGACCAAAGATCATTCAGACTCGACGGCCTGACTACACACCCAGAGTTGAGCAGTGAGCGGTGTTTACGGGGGAATCTGTGCTGTGTCAGCGCCGCCAACGATCAGCAGCCGAACACGCTCGCAGAGGTTGGGATGAAGCTGCGAGAGAAGGCGTCTGCGGGCGCTGCAACATCCGGCTGAAGCAAACGATTAGAATTGCATGCTGCATTTGTGTCGACAGACCGAAGAGGGAAATGGTTTAAATGGACTTACTGTGCGACTGTTGATATCTGGTGCTCCATTTGTCTGTTATTGAGGTGTGAAGCAACCCGCTTCAGCTTTTTCACATTTTCGTGGCTCGTGTGCTCACTAGCATGGAGTCATGACGGCGTCCATTGCTCTGTTGTCTGATGTATCTGCTTGGCCTAAACGAAGCTGCTGTCTTACAGTCTTTGCTGCGACTCAGTTTTGATTCCTGGAATTCTCTTCAAAGTAGTGTTTGAAGTTTGCTGTGTGTGTTTTGGTTGTCATAGCTAACAGCTGTTATTAAAGGCGCCCACATAGGAAGTGATTTGTAGTGACAGACCTTCAGGCAACAACTATCAAGATGTCTGCTGGTGACGTGACGTTTGGAGGTAACCCTCGAGAACCTGGATGTCTGCAGGCCGCTGACTCAACAACACCGTGATCACATCCTGCGTAGCCGTTTACTCTTTGACTTAAAATCCAACCAATGTTTATCTGTTACTCTAGAACGCCACACTCACCTGTTAGTGTCACTGACCGTGCCGTGCTTTAAAAAACATGACACTTTTTGCCATGGGGGGGTTAAACAGTATTCTGACAAATGTCTTTCTGCCAATGTGTGCGCTGCTGTTCAACCAGTGACTCCAACAAGCTGCCGGCTGTTTCGGGCCTGTTTTGTACTCGTGGCACATCCAGCTCATGTCCTGTGGCTTTTACTATGAAGCAGGATGGTCGAGATAAAAACTGTCTTATCCAGGTCATCTCAGGTTAACCCTGGATTTTTCTTTACTTTGATGGTGCAGTGAGACGTGGTACCCATGGTAACTAACCTCTGATAAAAGGTTATGATAGAGATCGCAGATCACCACCTGCTTACCGATCTGTGCGGTCCCTCAGACCTCAGTGTGGATACTGGGAGGGTCTAAATTATGTTTTAGTGTGTGAAGTCTACATGTTCGCTGCATTTAAACAGTTTCAGCTCTGTGAGGATGAGTGTACGGTCCCAGAACGGAGCTCCTTGTTGTACTCGCTCAGTTTGTATCAGATGAATTCTGCTCTTGTATTGATTCTCTGTCAGGCTGCAGCTGATACAATAAAAACTCTTTCAAACACATTTCATTACATTATGATCCATCAGATCCTCTGATGTCTTAAAGAGTTGTGATGTTGAGAAGTTTGATAACTTACACAGTCAGCAGCTTTGGCAGCTTTCCCTCCTGGTTTCAAATAGGCTAAACTTTATTTTAATACTAAAGCAGTGTACAGCACCTCTGTTACTGTATGTGTTTAACATATTTTTATCTTCCTTTTTAACTCAGCCGTAATAGACTGATGGGTACTGTGGTCACCCTGCCGAGTGGACAGGCCCAAGT